AATAAGACAATTTTAAGAAAATAAAAATTAAATAAAAGATTTTTTGATAAACATAGAAAATGATTTATAAGACTAAGAGTTAGATTAATATCAATGTTAAAAATTATAAGTAATATTATAATATATTATTTATAATTATTTTATTCAATTTTTTATAAAGTTATTATCTTAATAAAATAAACATTAAGAAAAATTATTGAAGTCTTTAGAATTAATTATCTGTGAATAAAAAATCTAAGTACTTAATTTAGAATAATAATAATAATAAATTCATGATAAAACTTTTAATATGATATGAGAATTATTTATTTATTTATTTTTATTGTTAATTATAATTACATTTTATTAATTTATTTATTTTAAAAAACTATTATAATTTATATTTAATAATAAATAAATATTAAAATTATTTCTGAGCTAAAAATATTTTAATATATTATTATCATTTAATTAAGATAATTATTGATATTTTATTTATTATTATATTATTTTTAAATTTTATTAATTAATTATATTTCTCTTTTTTATTAAAAATAAATATTCATCCATTTCTTCTTTAAAAAAAAAAAAAAAAACTTCTTAGTGTCTTTATATAACTTTCCTAGAAATTATTAGAATTACTAAATATTCTATTAAAATTAATATTATATTTTTATTTATTTAAAATACACTCTTCTTTTCTTTTTATTTTTAAGCAGTCAATTTTTTTATATTAAAATCATTCTAATTACTATTAAAGCAAGTACTATTCCAAGAAAAATCAATTCTTCTTTCACATAAATTTTTTTTCTATCATATTGAAAATTATTCATGAAATCCTAAATTATCCCTTATAATAATTAAATATTCTTATATTTTAAAACCCTTTTAGTCAATAATTCTAATATAAAACTTCTGTTTCGTCATTTAATTTAGCAATTCTCCTTATAAACGAATTAATCTATCTATAATTTAAAAATTTAGCCAATTTTGAAGACGATTATTTAAGTGTAAGCCAATCCTTTAAAACTCCATTTTGAAAATTCTTCTTATAAACATACAGCTTTAAAATCCTTTTTATTTAATTCTTATTATAATTAATATTTATTTCTTATAAGCCTTAATTTTTTAAATCTCATTGGTTAATAAATTTATTTCTTCTTGTATGCAAGGGTTAAATAAATAAATGCCTTTTTAGTTACTAAAATAGATTATAACATAATTAATTAACTAAATTTATATCATATTTAAAATATATTTTTTTCAATGTCTAAAATTATTAAAAATTATTATAAATTTTGTATATGTATATAATAATTATAATCGGTCATATCTTTACTCTTCTTCCTTATTTTTACTTCAGAATTTTAACATATTAGCTATGAAATAAATACATTTTTACATAATTTTCACTTTCTTTCGAATTCGCAAATTTTAAAGAATATTAAAATATATGATATTTTTTTTTTATTTAATTTGTTTTTTATCAAAAAGTTAATTATTGATACTTATTCTATAGGAGACGATTTTTTTTTTAATTATTAAAGTATTTTTATTGACTTTTTTCCCTTCATTTTTTAAATAATAGCAAAAAAAAGGGGGGATCAAATAAATATTTAAAATTTTTTGGATTAAAATAGGAAAATTAAAATTAAATAAAATAATATGTAAATTCGATATAATTTTTTAATTTTCTGTTTTCTGTTTTATATCTAATTTTTATTTTTATATTATAAATACGCTTTTAATTTTTATTCTATATTAAAAAATAAATTTAATAAATATATAAATTACCATGAATATATAATATAGGATTTATTTAATTATAAAATAAATATATCTTAAAAAACTACACTATTAATTAAAAAAAACATATGTACCTAAATATTTAAAAAATTAATTATTTTAAGCCTTTAAAAAAAAAAAAAACTTATACAAAAATTTGTTTATATCATATTTTTTAATTAAATTCAAATTTTTTTATAAAACAAAAAATGTAATATATTAATATAAATAAATAAATTATTTAATTATTAAAATGGAAAAATATATTTATTAATTAAATTTATTAAATAATAATTAATTTTGAATATAAAATAAGAAAAATAATTATTTAAATACAAATTTAAGTCGTTCGATTAATTTAATACATACTTTAGTATTAATATATAAAATAAATAATTATTATTGGATATTTTTTTATTATAAATTTGATTTTTCATTATTCTGAATTATTTTTTAAATATTATATAAAAAAATGAATATATTAATATATATAAGAATTAAATTAAAATTTAAATTTATAATTTAAATATAATAAAAATATTTGTTTATTAAAAAAAAAAAAAAAATATTTAATTCTATTCTTTACTAAAAAATACAATATTTAAATTTGAATAGAAATTAATATATATCAATTCAAAAATATTTTTTTAACCAATAAGAAATTATTAATTTTTTAATATTAAAAATAATATATAATTAATTAAAAAAATACTATTAAACTTCTTTTTTTATTTTCATAAAAAGAACAAAGTTTTATCTTTCTATAATGCTAAAAACTAAACTTTACATTCATTTTTAGGCTTATCACATTATTCTAGTAAAAAAACATTATCTGAACTATCTATTTTCTTTAAAACATTATAATAACTACACTATCTTTCACTATCGTCATAATAAGGCAGTAAAACATCAAAAAAAATACAATTTTCTACCGCTTCAATATAATGAAGATTTTTATTTATAGGGTCAAGAAAATCAATTTAATCTTTATTCAAAATTTATTAATCATTTAATTATGCGAAAACAAGTTTCTTTTAATCTAAAAAATGCCTTTCTTTTAAAGAATAACTATATTTTAAAACTTTCCCGTATAATATTTTAGAAAAAACATACATTTTAGGATGGTCATGTAAAGGTAAAAATGCTCCTTTTGGAAGGAAGAATAAACCGAATGAGTATTTATTATTTTATCCTTATCCAACATTTATATATTAAATTGTATTTTTATCAGAAAAAAGAGGCGGGTTTATATCATTTGAAATACCAAAATGTTCTTTTTTTATTATTTTTAAGTAATCATAAAGACTTTATAAAGAATTATATATGTTTTGAGAACCTTCTTCATATTCTTATATTACTTAATTAGAAATTTAAACTAACTGATTATACATTTTTTAATTTTTTTAACTATTTTTATGATTTATTTTATTTTTTATTTTTTATGTTTTATGTTTTTTATTTTATTATTTTTTTTTTTTGTAAATAAATAAAAAAGGAATAATTAATAAATATTACCAAAACTTTATTTTTTTTATGATTACGATGATTAAGTTATTTCTAAAAATTATGTAATATATGTAATTTTGATTTGAATATAAAAATAAATGTTAATTTATCTATTTTGAAAAACTAAATATAAAATGAAATGTAAATTAAATAAAATAGTTATTTAAATAAAATATTGTTTATTATTTTAAATTAAGTAACATTTCCAGAAAGTTTTTTTATATAAAATTAAGTATATATAATATTAGAATATTTAACCTATTTAAAATAAATTGCTTTTTTTGAAATAAAAAATTAGAAATAAATTTAGAAATACATTATTTTTTTAAAATTATAATAGAGCTGTTTATATTTTTATCAAAAAATAGAAATTCGATTTTTCTAAGTTTCTATTTCCCAAAAATATAAAACATTTATATATAGATAACTTCAATATAAATTAAATTTACACTAAATACTTGTTCAATATATATATATTAAAACAATTTATTCATTTTATTCACAATATATTGAGTTTTATTATACTGTTAATAAAAAGAAATATAATATAGTTTAAAACTTATAATAAATATATAAATATAAATTATTAAAAAAATTAAAAATATATTTTATATATTATTTTTATCTAAATTATTTCTAATTTATTCTCTAATTTTTCTATGATATATCTTTTTTTTGTTACATTTAATCATTATATGTGAAAATTTTTCTGTATGTTAAATAAAACAAATTGAATATAAAAAAGGCAAAATTAAATCCAAAAAATTTTTATTTTAATATTTATAAATAAATGATTTATGTGAATTAAAAAAAAAAGCCCAAAATATAATTTGTGTTAATAAAAATAAAGAAGAATGCCCTATTTATGAAATTTGCTTAAGAATTAGGAAAACATAACTTTTCTACTTAATAATAAAACATTAAATCAGATATAAAATATAAATTCATGTATAGATGATTTACCTTATTTTGATTTATTATGGATTTTAAATCTAAAATTTACAAAATTAAATAATACTTTACTTCAGGGACCTTAATTAGAGTTTTTATGATGGAAATTAAAATTGCGTAATATTTACAGAGGATAAATTCAATAGTATTTTTATAAAAAAAAAAAAATTTAGACATTTTTGAAGTCGAATCTGTATGATATGGAAGTTAAGTTGCAAAATTTAATAAAAGTCGTAGAATTTTTATAATATTAAAAAGGGTTTATATTCTCGAAAAAAATAAATAAGATTAATTGATAAAAATGTGTTAATTTCGAAAAAAATTATTTCGACTAAGTTTATTTTTTTGGTTTTTTTTTTTTTTTTTTTTTTTTTTCGGAAAAATATGATATTATTCTAAATTATTCTTTGCTAATAAGTAATGAAATTTTAGTATTAATTTGTATTCTATTTAAAGATAAACAAAAAACTCTTATTTTTATATAAATTTGGGATATTTAAATTGATTTTCTAATTTAATTATTAAACATTCTTTTCAAAATAGGTGAATTTTTAGCTAAAATATTCACTTTTGTAAACAATCAAAAGTAGTTTATTATTCAAATATTTTTTTATATATTGGTTTTTTTTTTCTAATATTGTATATATATTTTAAAATGAATTTGATAAAAAAAAAAAAAAAAAAAAAATTTTTAATAAATAAATAAATAATAAATAAAAAGAAGGAAAAAAAAATATATTATATTTATTTACTTTTAATTTTATATATTTTCATAGAATAAAAAATAATTAAATATGAATTTAAGAAATATAAAATTAGAAGATTATTCTGAAGAAGTAAAAAAAGCATATTCTTTTCCAGATAAAAGCACAATAGATTAATTTAAATGCAGGGTTAATATGTATTAACATTAATAACTTACATAGCAATTTACTTTAAAATTCGTAGCAATTACACTTTCTTTTGGAATTGCGGCACATGTTTATATTACAAATAATCTAGGAGGAAAAGTAATTAAAGATAGAATATTTTCATAATAAAATATGATGAAAAAATTCTATATAAAATCAACTCCATTTTTAGGCTTGGCTTTTGCATTCTTTCATAGTAGATAACTTTTAGAAAACCCGAAACTTGAATATTTAGAATGAAAAATAAATTTATATTAAAATAATAACAAAAATGAATAAATATATATATATAAATAAAAAGATCATAATACATATATCGCATTATTTATATATATATATTTTATATTTATCAAATAAAATAAATAAATATTAATATTTAATAAAAAACAAAATAAAAATATTTATAAATATAAATATAAATATATAATTATATATATTTTATATTATATATATATATATATATATATATATATATCTTTTATTATAATTTTTTATATTTATTTTAAATATGCTTATAATTATATCAATTACTTTTACATATTTTAATTTTTTTTATATTTATATTTTATTTTAAAATAAAGAAAAATATTAATAAACTTTGCATAAAGTACAATGTATATTTATATATATATGTAAATTAAAATAAAATTATTTCACATTAATCTTTAGGGTATAGGTGGTGGCATTATAGGTAAATTAGGCATATTTGTTGCTATTATTTTTGAAATATAAATAATAAATACAATAAACAAATTTTTTGTACGTAAAGGTGGTAATATAGGAAAACATTGAGGCATTTAATTTTAAAAAGGTGTAGCTGGATTACCTAAACCAGGAATATACAAAGCTGGTGGAGGCATTTAATTAGGTACAGGTAATTAATTATTAATCATAAGACTATCAGGAATCCTTTTTTTTTATAAAAATATAAAATAAATAAAATATGATTTTACCTGTTAACAATAGGCTTTTATACAAGAGGAACAGGTACAGCATGGCCAACAACAGTATTTTATTATTAAGGTTTATTAGCTGCAAGTAGTCTTTCTAAAAAAATAAATTTAAATTATAAAAAATAGAATAAAATTGAAAATACCAGCAGCAGATCCATGTCTTTCTCCTTTAGAATCTTTCTTGAAAGCATATTATACATTTATTTTTTTACTTCCGAAAAATTATCCATTCATTGTATTTATGGCAGCATCCGCAGCTTCGAAATTATCATAAGAGACAAATGCATATCCTTTGGATTCATCATTATCAGGATCTCTGACTATTCTTCTTGAAATAATCAACCCAAATTAAGAAAATGTATCATGTAATTATTATTCAGTTATAGATTAATCTAAATTTCCAATAAATATGTTTGCTCCTACTTCTTATGTTCTTTTGTCTTAAGAAGCCTTATTTACCTTTATTGGTTTACCGTATAATTTCACTAAATGCATTATTTTTATTGAATAATCTGCATCTTCTTCGCTCTTGAATTCCACAAAACCATATCCTTGATGTTCTCCTGTTATCTTGTCTTTTGGTAAATGAACGTTTACTACTATTCCACATTAAGAAAATAATTCCCAAAGTACTTCTTGGGTTACTTTTTAATCTATTCCACCTACATATATGGTGGCATCTGGATTTCTTTCTGATAGACTAAAGTTCATTTTTTTTTTATTTTTTATTAAAAAATATTTTTATTGATTTATTTATTTGATAGAAATATATATTTATATATTTAATTTATTTTTTAAATATTTTAGGTTTAATTTTTTTAGATGAATTAAATTATTTATTGGATATTTTAATAAATATAATTATTATAAATATATATATATATATATGTAATTATGTAAAAATTAATATTATTTTTTATTTATATAAGAAATTTATAATTTTAAAATATATAAAAATATAATAATATTTATTATAATTACAAAGTATATTGAAAATTTACTTAAAAAAATACTTTAAATATAACTTTCATATATAACTAAAATGATTTCGTAAATAAATATTTAAATAAAAATAACTAAAAACTAAAATAATTTCTAAAAAAAAAAAAATTGAACAATAACAAATTAAAATAAAAGTTACCTAAATTTTTTATGTAGCATTTTAATAGAATATATTTAATATTAATTAAAAATAAATAAAGCAACAATGATTAAATATTTATATTTTTACTTCTAAAAAGTAAACTGAATAAATAAAAAGATTAATGGGTAAATGAAGGAATATATAAATCAATTTATGAAAAATAATAAATAAGATAAGATTATAAATAAAAATAAATATATAAAAAAATAATTGAAGAGTTTAAGCCTTATAAAAGATAGATATCTTTTAAAAATTTATAGAAAGCTTAAGTAATTTAAAAACTAAACCAGAAAATAAAAAAATTATATTTTTTTTATTTTCCTAAATTCAAAATATTTTTACATTTTATAACTTCTAAGTATTTATATATTTTTCAAACTATAAATATCATATCCAATATTCAATTTATAAGCTACAAATTAAGGAATTATTATAATTCAATAATTTTACATTTATATAAAAAAACTTAATAGTTTTAATTTATTTGGACAATTTTATACTTTCTTTAAAGAATTTATTAATAATATTTTTTTCACAATGCAATATATCATATTGGTTTTATATTTATATAAATATCTATTGACTTTAAATTATTAAAGAAAATAAAACTAAGTATAGGCATTTTAAATAATAATATTTAAATTAATTTTATAAAAAATTAATTTTAACTTATATTAATTTTCTAATTTTTTTTATAATTAAACAATAAATAAAATATTTTTATTTTATTTATTTGTATTTTATTTAAATTTTTTTTATTTTATTTTATAAATTAAGATAAAATAGTTGTGTAAATTATTAATAAATATATTAAATAATATATTTTAGCTCTAATTAAATAATTTTTTTTTAATAAATGTCAAATGTATATATATATTAATTTAATTAATTAACAAGAATATTAATTATTTTATTTTTAAATAATATAATTAGTTATATATTTTTTTAAAAAAATTATCAATAAATGAAAGATATACAAAAATAAAAAAAAAAATTAAATTTAATATAATATAATATAATTAAAAAAATAATATATAAATATATTAAATTTATTTAATAATAACTTTATTATAGTTATTTTTTAAAATAACTAAAATATATATAAACTAAAAAAAACAAAAAATAATATAATCTAATATAAAATAAAATAAAGTTTTAATCCAAATATCCTTTCACATTAATCTCCCACAAATAATACAATTTCTTTTATTACAAAACTCATGATCTTTCATTTTATCATCATAATCTTTCTTATGGGTAGTTAAATACTAACCATCAAAAGCAGGCACTTATCTTCCTTTTATTATATTAGGATTATATTTTTTATAATCTACAGTCTAAGGTAAATAAGTGCTTAAATTTGTAGTTTAAGACAAGAAAGGAAAATCTGGACTTATCGGATTTCTATTAAATTAAAATAAATATTAATTTATTTTAACACAAAAAAAAATACTTAAACTATCCTTTTTTAGACATTTATATTATTTTGTCTCTATCATTATCATTATCAGCTGGTTTTCCTTTAAATGTATCACCATAAGTAGTTTTACCAACAAAAGGTAATTCTTTTATAACTGTAGGATGTGCCGGAGGCTTTACAAGGGAAACTGGATTTGAACCCCAATCTAAGAAAGTATTTTTATAACTAGAAATGTCACTAAAAGGCAAGAATTTTTGTAATTCTTTCGATTTATGTTATTTTTATGCTTCAATAGGGTGTGGTACATAATCGCTCTAATATAGTATATTTAAAAAAAACGATTATTTTTATTAAAATTTACTCTATTTATTGTGGATAACTCCATAGGTTATTTGCTATAAAATCCATTATATAGATCACCATTTACTCGTGGAACTCTAGTATTACTTTTAAAAGGTTAGAAATCTTTTTGATATAATGACTAACCTCCTTTTTTGTAATCTGGTATCAAATTTCTCTTTGGGCGTAGGCAAAATCCACATACTAAGCCTCCACGGACTTATTAATAATACCATTCGTTATTATCTAATAGTTTATTCATATGCTATTTCATTATTTCCCTTCTCATTTCATATTAATCAAGCTGAGATAGATTATTATTACTTTTTTTCATATTTTTTATTTTTGTTTTTAATTTTTTTTTTACGATTGATTGTCATGACCGAGGCAATAATCGTTTGTGTTTTTAAATGCTTTTTCTGATTATTAAGTAGCAATCATTTTTTTTGTTTTTTAAATTTTATTTTTTATTATTATTTTTTCTTTTAATTTTTTTTTTTAATTTTTTTTATTGAATAGAAATAACAAAAAATAAAGAAATTAAAGTTTTTATAGGTTATAAAAATAATTAATTAAAATAAAAAAATAAATTCTAAAATAAAAATATTTATTAAAACTAAAATATATATAAAAAATAATAATTATATTAATTTAATCATAAATATATATTATTAAAAATAGATAAATAAAAAATGAACTTAAAATTAAATATATTTAAAATTTAAACATTATTTATTTAAATTAAAAAATAAAAAATAAAAAAAATAATTAAATAAATAAAAAAAATAATAATAAAAATAAAAAATGGGTCAAGACTGCTCTACAGCTTGTTCATAATGTAATAAACAAAGTGAAATAAAAACATAATAAGAAGATAGTATAACAAACGGGACTGCTGCCCTTTATTAGGAAAATAATGAAGCTCCTTAATAAAAAGAGACAAATAGTCAATATAAACATACAAAATAATAATCAAATGAAAATTATAAAGATAGAGACACAAACAATTAATATTCAAATGAAAAAAATTCTAATATATATAAAATACCTTCATATAAATAAATAAATGAAAATAATGAAAGTTAAAAACAAATCACTACAGAATAATAATAATAGTAGCCCCAACAGCAATAAATATTAGAATAAAAAGAACTATCTCTCTAAAACACTTAGGAAAATAAAAATGTAAAAGAAAGTTCTTAAAAATATTTTAATTCTGTAGAAGATGTTTTATAATAATAATAAAAATAATAGACATAAATAATTCAATCAGATGAGAATAAAAAAAAAGAAAGAAGACCTCCTTATTAATTTAAAAGTGGAGCTATTTATGATGGAGAATGGTTCGGTAAATTTTTTTATTTTATTTAAAAATAAATAATTTCAAAAAGGTAATTACAGAGAAGGATAAGGAATTCAAACATGGCCAGATGGAGCTAGATATGAAGGTAAAGTAAGATTGTATATATATATATATAAATTTAAATATATATAAATAAAATTAAAGTAAAATTTATAATAATAAAAATAATAATAAAATTAAAAGGAGAATGGAAAGATAACAAAGCAGAAGGAAAAGGTAAATTTTGGCACGTAGATGGAGATATTTTTGAAGGAGAATGGAAAGATGATAAGGCAAATGGATATGGAGTATATATTCATGTGAATGGTGCAAAATATGATGGTAAATCTATTATAAAAAATATATTAATAAAATAAAAAATATTATTATTAAAAGGATATTGGAAAGATGATTTATAAGAAGGACATGGAATAGAAACATGGGCAGATGGGTCTAAATATGAAGGATATTATAAAGAAGGAAAAAAATAAGGAAAAGGTACTTATACTTGGAGTGACTAATCAAAATATGTTGGTGATTGGGTTGAAAATAGAATTTCTGGTTATGGAGTTTATACATGGTTAGATGGAAGATAATATGAAGTATAATAAAAAAATACATATATAAATATAAATATAAATATAAATATAAATATAAATATAATATTTATTATTTATTATTTATTATTTATTATTTATTATTTATATAAAAAAAAAAATGATTTTGTTTTATAAAAGAATAATTATTATAATAAGATAATATTTTTAAAAAAATACAGAGGAAATAAAATATAAAATGCATTCAAATATATTTATTTTTCATATATAATTTTTTTTATAAATTTTTTATTTATAAATATAATTATATATATATTTTAAAAAAAAATTTTATTAAATATTATAATAAATATATTTATATATAATTAAAATATATATATATATATTTTTACATATCTATATAAATATATTTTTTTTATAATTTAAATATTTTTATTATTTATATGCTTTTTTTAATTCACTAAAGGGAGAATGGTTAAATAATAATATGCATGGCAAAGGTTTTTATACTTGGAAAGATGGAAGAAAATATGAAGGTGACTATCAATATGATAAAAAACATGGTTACGGAAAATATACTTGGGCAGATGGACGATAATATGAAGGTTAGTGGGCTTATGGAAAGTATTTTTATATTTTATTTTTTAATTATTAATTTATTTATAGGCAAAATGGAAAAGGAATATATAGTATACCTGAAGGTTCTGTTAAAACTGGGCTTTGGGAGGACGGAAAAAGGATAAAATGGATAGATGATGAACAAATTTAATAAAAAAATTGATAATAGATTTTTAAATAATTTTTTGAAATTAAAAAATATATAATAAATAAATACTTATTTTATATTTAAAATATAAATTATAAAAAAAAAAAAATATTGTTATTATTTTATTAAATTAATTTAATACTTTTTGTATTCCTTTTATATTAAAATAAATAGAAGAATTCTTATTATAATTAAAAACTAAATAAAAAAATTTTATATTCTATTAATATTTACTTATATAAAAAAATTAAAAGAAAATGATAAATAAAATAATATTTTTTTATTTCTTAATAAAAAGTAATTTTTTTTTTTATTATATTAAAAAAAAAAAAATAGAAAAAAAAAATAAAAAAAAAATTTTAAAAATTATAAATTATACAATTTAAAAAATATCATATAAATAAATAATAATAATATATATATATATATATTAATAATATATATATATATATATATATATATATATATATATATATATATATATATATATTAATCATGTGTCTAATTTAAATTAGAAAATATACATATATATAAATATTTTATTATAAATATGGATCCTTAAAAGAAACAAAAATTAAATCAATAACAATTCGATTAATCCGATTAAGTTGAGAAAATAAGTCAAGTTCAAACCTAAGAAAAGCAAGATAGTTAAATCGATCGTGAATAAATGATACCTGAATACAAACAGTTAATTGAATATAAAAACAATCTAGTAAAACTAGATATTTTAATTTAAATAGAATCCAACGAAGAACAACTAGAAGAACTTCGAGGTATGAAAAACGACTTAGAAGATGCCATATAAGCCCAAGAATAAAAAATAAAAAAAGAATAAAACAATGATTATTTAATTTTTAACACTGAAGCTGTATAAAAAGAACATATTGGTAGATTATGTAAAGTTTTTTATGAAAAAGAATTAAAATGGTATCACGGAGTAGTAACTTCAGTAAATAGTGATGATTAAATAATAAATGTCCAAATTATAGGATATAGAGATAATATATAAATAGATTCAGTTTATGTAAAATTAAAACCTAAACCAGATCCAGAGTTGTTTTAACCTGGTTTTGCATGCGAAGCAATATATTCGGATGATGGTAAATATTATCCGTGTATAATCGAAAAAATAACAGAAGATGGTCGATATGTAGTAAAATTCAAAAAATATAATAATAAAGAAGAATTATCCTTATATATGTTAAGAGAATCAAGAAAAAATTAATAAGATCATCGAAAAAAAAGAACTTTTGATGACCTTACTGAATTTAAAGTACCTGATAATCTCAAATATTTACCAAACGAGTCTGAACAAACTAGATTAATGAAAAAAAAAAAAGTTAAAGCACTTAAATAATAATTTAAATAAGCCCAATTAGAAAAATCTAGTATGGAAAAATAAGAAAAATGGAAAGATTTTAAATCTACTGCCTAAATGAAAAAAAAAGAGCATTTTTCAGGAAGAACTTCTAAATCTATCTTCTAATCTCCTGAAACTATTGAAGGTAAAGTTGGTGTAACTAATTCTGGTAAAGGAATGACTAATTTCTCGGTAAGAAGTTAATAGGCTATGTAGGATAATTCTCATTTGTCACGCTTGTTTTGATTTTATTTTGAATATAAATGTTTTTAATATTTTAAAATAAGAAATATTTATATAAAAACATATTTTTTTCTTAGAAAAATAAAATAAAATTATTTTATTTTTTTCTGTAATAAATATTTTTACTTTTATAAGAAAAATAATAATTATAAATATAAATATATTATTATTTTATTTATTTTTAAAATATATATTTAATAAACCACGTATTAGTGTTTTTTAAATTAAAAAAAAAATATAAAAATTAGAATACTTTATATGAATAAAAATAAACTTTCTAAGTATTTTTTTTTTTTTAATTAATTATTTTATGGACTATAAATAATTTAAAAATTATTGTCTATAATTAAAAAATTAAATTTATTTAGAAAAAAAAAAAAAAAAAAAAAAATGTAAAAAAGTTTACATAATATCAATTTATAAAAAAGTGGATATATAAATAATCCAAAAAATAATATTTCGAGTTTAAAAAATGGTGATAAATACAAAATTATAAAAGAAACAATTTCTAAAGACGCAAAGCCTTTAGATTTTTCATTTAAATAAATATCAGATTTATAAGGTTAATTAAATATCATGTTGCTAAAATATATTATAAAATTAATAAAACCAAAACAAAAAAAACAGAATTAAAAACCACAGAACCACGTAACGGAAAAAGAAAACCAATAGTAATATAAACAGTAGAAATAATATAAGGAGATAAAAAATTAGGAGGTATTAATACATTTTTCAAATTATAAAAAATAATATTATTTATTAAGATGAAGATAGTAAAAAAGATCAAGAAGAAAACGAAGAAAAAGAAAACGAGGAAAACGAAGAAGAAAAAGTAAACAGAGAAAGTAAATCAAAGGAAATAAAAGAAGATAAGAAAAAATCCGATAGAAAAGAACCTGAAATAATAAGAGCAGTCACTTAAAATATTGCTGCAAATATAGTATAGAATTACCATTTACCATTAAACCCTGGAGTTGTTAAAGTATTTTATTAAAAAGATAATAAAATAATAGTCATTTATAAAAAAAAAGGGATAAATAGATCATAAAGCAATAGAAGATGTAAGAAACACTTAAAAAAAAGTATGTAAAATAAACTTAATATGTACATCCTTAATATTAGGATATAATAAAATAAGGTATTATTTTTTATATATAATATAAAAACTATTTAAATAAATTGAAATAAAAATAAAAAGACATATTGATAAATTCTATTAAATTATTGATAATGTAATGTTTGATTGCTAAAATTTAGGTTTTATTGATCTTTCTCATAATTATATTACTTAACTTTAATATGTTTTTTTATATTATATATATATATATATATATATATATATACATATATTTTTTAACTATATAGGATTTTAGTCATTTTTATAATTTAAAAATATTATATTTACATTGTAATTATATCAGTAATTTAAAAGAAATATTAAATATTTAATAGCCTATTATTTCTTTAACTATTCACGGTAATCCTGTTGAAACAATAACTGGTTTTAGATAATTTATTATTACTGTTATTCCTTCGCTTAAGAATTTAGACACAGCCCACGTTTCTAAAAAAGAGAGAGATTATTCGGATTTTTCTATTTTTAAAATGATGTCAAATATTCCTCCTCCTGTTAAAAATCCTGCTTTGCCTCCCGAAGAGAATGTTGGGAATGACGTAAAAACTAATTCTGCTTGAAGTTTTTTTTTTTTTTTTATGTTTAAAAGTAATTTATATATTTATTATTTTATATACTTATATTGTCTTTTTATTAAAATTTTATAAATTATTAATTTATTATTTTTAAATAATATAATAAATTAAAAAATAATTATATATACATTAAAAATAAAAAACAGTTATTTATTCATTTTAAAGATTTTTAAAAAGGAAGACTATTATAAGTACTTTTTTATAATTTCTAAATATACCTAGTTTTGTTTTTAAAGCATTTCTTAAGTTCTAATAAAAACTAAATAATAAACTATTTTTTGCATTAATATATTTATTATTCATCTAATAATAATCTAGAGTCAAAATCTGCTTTTTATTTTAAGATTTGAATGCATTTTCTTAAATTAACTAAGCAACTAGCCATAGTATTTGCATTATTTATAATTCCCTATATTTATATTTAATCTAATTTTTCGATTATTTAACAAATAATTAACCTTTTTTATTTATATAAAAATAATTGAAAAAATATAATAAATAATAAAAATACCCATCTTTAAATTCTTCTATAATATCTTTATTAAAATTAACTTTTAGTGTTTAAAATCCTATATCCTTAAACCATTTATTAATTAATTCAATATTATTAATTTCTTAGGGATCTTATTATTATTATTATTTTTACATAATATCTTCAAAGCCAGGTTTATATTTATTATTATAATTTTATTATTAGTGATTTTCTTATAAAATTTTAATATTTTTATCTTAATTAAACGAGTTTTATTTTCCGATTTCTAAAAAGTATTTTTATTTTTTATTTTCATCATTTTCATTTTATTTTAAACATGATTATTTTTAAAAAGTCATTTCTTATTATTTTGAAAATTCTCCATCTTTTTCTTTTCTAAAACTATAAGATGTACTATCTTATTTATTTAAACTACCATTTTTTTATTAAATTTCTTCAAATTAATTTAATATAATAGCTGGTCCAAAATAAGGTCCTTCTTTAAAATAATCGTTACCACTCCTAGCAGGCATCCCATCACTATAAATTCTTAAATCTTCCAAAAATCCAACAATAAACATTTAATTATTATCCGCAATTTAATCTTCTTTCCATAAAAATTTTTATCCTATATTTGCATTTTGTCTTAATGGTTTCAAACCTTTCAAAATATTGGCTATTTAATTTTAATAATTATTCGGATTTTAATGGGAAGGTTATATATTAATTTTTATTATGTTTGATATTAATGTACATAAAAGTACTCCATTTTTAATTTAACCACATACTTGTCCAAAATTTTAATAATTTTTTCCGGTTTTCCAATTTACCCATTTAACTAGATTTTCTTAAAGTTTATCTATTTAACATTATGTATAAGGCAAAACACATTACTAGGCTTCTTAAGTATTAAAAAGTGTATTTTTTTTATTATTTTAGCTTATAAAACTGTTATTGTTTTGGGCAACATTTTTTTAGGCTGTTTTTTTATATATGTAATATAATAGACCATATAAAGATTAATAGTCTCCTTTTAGAATATTTTCGCATTTGTTTGTAGTAAAAATTGGAGGAATTTCAAGATTTTATAAATAAGCGAAATTCAGGAAATATTCCATGTTAAATTAACATTAATGAATATTTTAAGGATCTTAATAAAAAGATTATGATTGAGAATTTTGGAAAAGTTTGTTTATTATATTACAAAGAAGAACTCCATTTCGGAAAGGATCTTTAAAAAAAGAAAGGTTGATATTAAGAAAGTTTTTTTGAATATATTTTTAAAAACCTAATTTTTCTAAAAATTAATTAACTTCTTATTCTTTTTGTGAATCAATATAAATTATTTTAGAAAAAGAAGATAATGATGTATTTCTGTGGGAATTTCTAGGAGATAATTAAAAAAAAGATGAATTATTGTTATTATTTTTTATAAATGAATTATTATTATTATTTTTAAAAGAATTATTTATTTTCTAAATTGAATTATTATTATTATTATTATTATGTTTTGTATTTATACGACTTCTTTATACTTGATAATAACTTCCTTTTGGAGTATGTAAAAACATACTTTTTTTTAAATAGATTTCTTTATATAAATTTTATTATTAAATATATTATTATTATTATTATTATTATTATTATTATTATTATAATTATTATTATTATTAATTTATTTAACTTTATTTCATTTTATCTTATCTAGGCTAAATATAAGGTGTATAACTTTACTCTTTGTTTCCTATTTAACTCAATGAACTTTGATTTGTCATAGTTTTTTTTTTTTTTTCATTTCTTTCATCAATTTGATTTTATTTATTTTAAAAAAAAATTCTTAAATCATCAAGAAAACCCCAAAAAATATCACAATTTCCCTAAATAAAGATATCTTCATTATTTAAAAGAAATCGTGGGTTAAATTTTTCATAATTTTTTAAAAACGTAAACAATTTTTAATAATTTATACGTATTTAAGTAATATCTTTTGTATTTCTATAAATACCATTTATTGTATTATCCTTCTCAAACATTCTATTTATAATATCTATAAAAATAACTCCATTTTTACATAATTTTGGAAGCTTTTCTTTAATATTTTTTATGTCTTTTTTAATAAGATTAATTTCATATAACCATAATAGGCATTTATCTCTTATATTATCCGTAAAAGGTGGTATTTAGATATTTTTTTCCTATTATTTTTCCTCTTGGTGTGAATAAGATCTATTTTATTTTAATTTTTATTCACTTTTTTCTATTTTTTTTAGAAAAGAATTTTCATCTTGAATATTTTTTTCAAGGTTTATAATATCTTTTTTAATTTAAATTTATTACGAATTATTATTTAGAGTTATACTTTTGGGTGATTTTGAAACTTTAGAATTCTAATTAGAAGTTTTTTTTGGATATAATATTTGCTAAATAAAAGCCTTCTAGTTTATTTCATCTGGTGTTGTTTACTCTTTTTAAACAGGAAAAGGCTCAACTGCTTGAAATGAAATATTATTTAAATGTGATGAAGTTTCTTTTGAATTTTCAAAAGCGTATTAAAATGAGTATTTATTTTCGACATTTTATTATTAATTAATTGTATGTTTTTAGGATATTTATAAAGGAAATTATTTCTATTTATTCTCTTGCAATTGATTATTATTTTATTACTTTAGTGTATTATTTTCTTGTTTTAATAAATCCCTTTCATTTGATAATTAATTATTTCCTTTTTATTCATTTTTTGAATATTCTATGGAATTTTTTTCTATTATAAAAGACTTAAAAGGAGATGAAGGCTTTAATACTTTATATTTTGTTGGCTTTGGAAAAGGCTCTATATTTTCATTTTTTGGCTCAGGACAATCTTAAAAATTTATATCTGAGGCAAATAATAATTCATTTTCTTAATTTTCAATATTTTTTGGTGGGAGTTGAATATTTACTCTTTTTTTCGTTTAATTTTATGATTTAATCCATAAACAAAATTATAATAATTATGGGTTTGTATATGACTTTTTATTTTATTTATTTTTTGTTTTTTTTATTTTTTACTTGAAATTATTATATTTGGAAAGGCATATCTATACTTTTTATTTAACATTCATTTTAAATTTCTTGAAGTAATTAATTTGTATTTAAATGATCTGGTAAGCATTTTATATTAAATATTTCTTATACTATTTCTGATAATACTAATGCTTTTTTTTTTAAAAAAAAAAGAAGATAACAATATAAAAATTATTATTTTATTTTACGATTTTTAATATCCTCTAAAGATTTAATTTATTTACAAAATTTAGTGTTTTTAATGCCTTTTATCCATTATATTGTTTTAAGCAATTCTTCTTATGATTAATGTTATTAAAATTAATTCATATTTTTTTTCTTTTTTTTCTTAATTTTTCAAAATTTAAACTAAAAATACTATTTATTTTTTTTGAAAAGAAATATAATATATTATTTTCAAAAATATAACAAAAAAAAATTTTTGTAATTATTTTTTTTATTTATAATTAAAAATAAAAAATCAAAATTAGAAATAATTAAAATAATAAAATTTTTATTAAAAAATAAATAAATATATAAATAAATAACATATTGAATAATAAATTATTTTATAATTAATTGAATCATAAATAAATAAAATATGATAAAGCTTCCAAACACACTTTAAAGACCACATACTACATCTACACCAACTAATTTAAATCCATACACCAAAAATCAGTAACTTTTGCGTCAAAAATATAACCAAATAACAAGCTTAAGTCCGAAATCTTAACTAAAATTAAGCTCATTTAAAAGTGCAAATCTATCTAACCTAAACAATATGGAATAAATATAAAAAATCATCGAAAAATCATAATACAGGAGTGAAAATGCCCAAAATAAATAATTTGAAAGTACTCTAAACACAACAACCGTAAAGCCTCACAACATAAGAGTAAACCCATAATTAGCAGAATATGCATATGAGGAAATAATGGAGAAAGAAATGAAAGTTTCAGAAGAAGAATACTAAGAATTTAAAAGAAAATATCATCGTATGGTTTTTGACAAAAAGGGAAATTACTTATATACAAAGCTAGAGCCATAAACTGAGGATTAATAAAGAAGCATAAAAGAAATTTATCAATAAAAAAACACTTCTTAGAAATTTCAAAAAGACCTCATAAACCACCAGAAGAATTTTTAGCCTGAAAAAATAATTTAAAATTTAGTGAAATCATCATAAGAATAAGCTTCTATGAACCCAAGGAAAAAAGCTATTCTAGATATTAAAGAAAAATCATTAAAGGGCATTTAATAAATGCTTAATTTGGGTGTAAAATAAAAAATTATTGAAAATGCCTAATAAGAAGTGATTAAAGCAGTAAAAATAATAATAATAATTAATATATATTATTATTTTTTTGAAAAAAAAATAAAACAATATATGTATAGAGTTAAGAAATGATAAGCGAAGTAGAAAAATTAATAAGAGAAAATGAAATTTTAAAAGGAGATTTGGAAAAATCTAAAGACTTGATAGTTGAATTATAAACTTAAAACGAGAACTAGAATTGGAAGAATTCTTGCTTAAAAAAAGATATTGAATAAATAAATGTTAATTTTGATATTTTAAAGAATAATTCTAGTCAACTTGAAGTATTTATTCCTGAATATAAGAAGCTTATGTTAAAATTTCCTGGAATGAATTCCAACACATTAATACATAAATTCGAAAAGCTTGAGAATTTTTGTTTAGAATTAAATAAGAAATCTTAAGAACTTGAAATTTAAAAAAGAGAACTTGAATAAGAAAAGTAGAAAATAAAAAACTTATTTGATAGTGATGTATAGGAATTAAAAATAAAAGAAACAACAAGAAAAAAATAAACAGAAATGTATTTAGAAAAATTAAAAGAAAAAGAAATCGAATTAAAGGACTCAGATGAATATAAAAAGAACTATATATAGCTTTAAAACCGAATTATTAATATTTATAACAAATGGAATTCGAAAATAAAAGTTTATTCTACTTCTAGAAAAGATAATGAACCAATAGCTCATATTAAAGACCCTTTAGAAATACTAGATTATATGGAAAAAAATATTCAAATTTCAACTTCGGATAGACTTTAAGAGTATTTAAGAAAAATTATCGTTTCAGCCAATCTTTTACAAAGAAAGTTTAATTTTTTTAATTTTTATTTTTTTTAATAAAAAAAAAAGATATCTTCCATTATTTGTAAATGAAAAATTTGATCCAGATAAAATTTATGAAAGAATTCTTAAACTTGTAAATAATTTAAATGCTGAGAATTTCAAGTTAAAAGCTTAAATAGATTAATTTAAAAAAAAAGAATAAAATACACATGATTTAAATTATCACACAAACAAAAAAAATACAAATGAATAAAATAGTACTAATTCTTTTCCAAGAAAGCTTTCTTTAACAAAAACATATTAATTTGATGATTGAGAACAAAATCTAAAAAGATAAATAAGTTATTAAATTAAACAAATAATATATATAAAAAAAAAAAATTATGTAAATAAGATAAATAAATATTTTATATTTTTTTCTCATGAGTTTTCTAAATTTCTATTTAACCATTTATGATTAATTAGATCTTTTATCTAATATCTATCTTAAACATTATACTTAAATATTCCTTTAAGAAAATCAATTAAATCCTCCGAAAAATAATTAGGATAATCTATATTTATCTAAAATAAAAATTAAAAAAAACTTTGAAAATAAATAAAAAAACATTTCTAATAGCATCAAATGTTAGTTCTTCGTTTTCTCTATTAAAAGGAGAATATCCAGCATTTAATTCATAACAAGCAACACCTAAAGACCAAACATCAACATCTTTATCATAAATACCATTTATCATTTCAGGAGAAAGATAGCTTATAGTACCACAGAAAGATCTTTTCATTAACATTTCAGAATTTTTTTTTTAAGAAAAAGTAGCACATCCGAAATCACATAACTTTATAGTTCCGTTTTCATTTAATAAAATATTTTCAAGTTTTATATCTCTATGAATAATTCCTAAAGTATGTAAATAATTTATACTTGAACAAATTTATCTCATAAATTAAACTGATATATGTTCAGGAATAAATTATTAATTAATCATATACTACGATAAAGTTCCTCTGTTAGAATATTCTAAAAGAATATAATGGTAATTTTCATCTTAAAAATGTTCATAAAACTTCAAAATATTTTAGTGATGACAATAATTTTAATGAATATGAATTTCTCGATATAATTATTAATCCATTTTATTTTTAAAAATAGTTTATTTGTTTATCAATTTCAATGCTAATTCTTATTAAGTAATAATATTTCTAATTTTTTTAAAAATTAAATAATAAAAAGATAATATATATTTAAATAAATTATATATATATACGTATATAAATATATATATATATATATAAATATATATTATACATATTTTTATATATACATATATTCATATATAAATATTTATAAAAAAATTATATAATTTTTTATCTTATATTTAATTAATAATTTTATTTTATTACTTAACTTTAAATACAATTCCGAATATACCTTGACCTATTTATTAAATAAATTCAATATTTTTTTATTTTAATAAATCATAGTTTAGTTCCTCAAAATTGTTTTATTTTTTTTATTAAAGTTTAATTTTTTCAATATCAGAAATCGATAAATATTTTTTATTATTACATATTTTATTATTTTCATCTAAATTTTAATCTTAATTATTTTATGTATTAACATTGTAAATTTAATTATTATTATTATTATTATTATTATTATTATTATTATTATTATTATTATTATTAATTATATTATATATATATCTCATTTGCATATTATTATTTAATATTTTTTTAAATAGGTAAATTTTAATATTTATCCAAAGTATTTTCATTTTTTTTTATTATACTATTTTTAACCTGTAAATTTTTTGAAAAGTTTTTATAACTTTATAATATTTAATTTTAATATATATTCTCTTAATATTATTATTAACTTCTTACACAACTTAATTCTTTTAATTGTTTTAATTAATTACTATGATCTTTATCTTATTCAAAATTTACTGAGTTATAATCTTATTTTTTAATTGTTCTTTATTATATATATATGTTTCTAATTTTTGTGTTATTTTATGTATTTTCAGTATTTAATTATTGAGATAATTATGACTACTGTGATGGAAGTGATTACATTGAATTTCTTATATGTTAATTTCTCTATATTTAAGTTTAATGATTCACTAATACTTTATTTTAAATTTATTGACTTTAGGAATGACATTAATATGATGATTTTTATCTTACAGGAATCAAATTCAGATAATTTTTCTAATTTAATTTATGCATATATTTTATATTTAATTAAGGACTTTAGATAATTGCTTAAGATGTTTGAAATATTTTTTAAGAATTTAAAAATACTATTTATGGATTAGTTTTATATAATAATATATTATTGTTATTTTATGGATAATTTCGCATTTTTTTTATTTAATTTTTATTTTTTTTCTTATATTGTGAATATTTTAATTTAATTAAAAAAAATAGCTATTTATTTAATAATAAAATATTTTTATTTATTTATGATTATTATTAAATTAATATTATTATTAGTAATTTTAAATTTTATTTACAGTCATTTTTATATTAATTTTTTTTAACATATTTTTATAATTTTAAAAATAATTATATTTTTATTTATTAATATAATTCTAAAAAAACGATATTTTAAATTTAATATATATATATTATTAAAATAGAATATAATTAATGCATATTTATTTATAAGAATAATTAAAAAATACATATAAGGATAGACATTATTAAAAAATTAAATTTAAAAATCAATTATTTATATAAAATTATATTATTATATAAATATTGAATTTAATTAATTTTTATAAAATAAAATATTTTTTTTATTTTTTAATACTTTCTAAATAAAATACTTTTTTTTTATTTAATCATAAATATAATAAAATATTTTTTATTTTAATTATTTTATTAAATATCTATATTTTTATAAATAAAATAAAATAAAATTTTATTTATTTTATTTTATTAACATTTTTATTTATTTATAAATAATTTAAGAAATATTATTTATGTATAAATAAATTAAATTATTTATTTATTAAAACAGCAATTTCTAAATATAAGTAAATTTGTTTTATATAATTTACATAAAAAATATTATTTAATTATAAAATTCTATATAAATAATATATATTATTACAAATCATATTTATTTATAAATAAAAATAAAAAAAGAATTTTTGCTTAATAAATATATTTTTATTATAAATAGAATCATTTTATTTTTTTAAATATTGAAAGTTTATTTTTTTAATTACTTAATAATTTTTTTTGTTATATTTTATTTAAATATAATGATCTAAGTAAATAATAATTTGTTTTTATATTAAATAATAAAAAAAGAAATAATGTATTTTAATAAACAGAGCAAAATTACTCTTAGAAAATATTATGAAAAAAATAAAAATAAAATAAAAATATTATTAAAAAATAGTAATAAAGTATAAATCATATTATAATAATCCTATATTTTATTAATATAAAACATAATTATCTATTTTATATTTAAATAATACTTTTTATTTAACTATAAATATAAAATATTATTCTCTATAATTTTAAATATGTATTATTATTATTATTTTTATTTTGACTTTTTTTTTTTATTTTTATATATTTATGATTTTTTTTATTATTTATTTTTAGTTTATATAACTTTAAATATATTTGCCATTATCATGAAAAAATAATATTAAATTTCTAAAAAAATAATTTTATGAAATACAAAAAAAATAAACGAAATTATTTATATATATATACAATAAATTTCTTTTTTAAATTTGCTTTGACTCTAAAATTATTTTAAATTTAATACATTTTTTTAAAAATCAGTTTATCAAAATTATATTATAATAGTATAATTTAAAATTTTGTAATTCAATACTTATATAGGTAATAATTTTAATTTATTTTATTTATAATAATATAATATAATATATATAATATATAAATTAAATAATAAAAAAAATCCAATGGAAATTGATATTAAATTATAAAGATAATAAGACTTTGCATAAAATTACAAATAATAAGGATAAAAGATGGTATTTAGACATAAACGTATCAGTTTAACTAGATTTTATGACTACCGTTACCGTGATTCTTATTTGAATTTCGATAAAAAAAGATAATTCCTAAAAATGGATTTATTCTATATTAAAAGAAATCCTTACTATTGAAAATCTATTTAATTATATTCAATAATATTAATTTAATAATAAAAATATTTATATTAAAACATTTATTTTATATATATTTTATCCACAATATGCTTCTTAGTAATATAAATTTTTTGCTATATTCGAAAAAAAAAAAATTAAAATAGAAAAATATATAGAAATTATATTTTTTAAAATAAATAATAAAAGTTTTAATATAATTTTAAAAAATATTCATCTAATAATAAATAAAATATATAAGATATTTATATTTATTTATTTTGTTTAAATTATTAACATAGAATTTGTTAATTTTTTTTTTTTAAAAAAAACATTTTAAAGATATTTATTGAATTAAGTATATAATTAATTATTTGAAACATAAGTTGCAATTTACAATAGATTAAAACAATCATAAATTGTTTAATATTTATCATCTAAATATAAAAAAGTAAATGATTTTAGTTATTTTGAGTTTTATTATTTATAAAAAGCTTCTACTGCTAAATCATTTATAACATTAAAATTTAAATCTGTTTTATATTTTATTTTTTTAATAAGTTTTTATTTTAAATGAAGTATTTTATAACTTTTAAATTAAAAATAAGTAATTTATTAATTAACATAAATATTTTCCATAATTTTTTGAACTTTTTATTAAATTAATTACTAAAAGCTTTAAGTTTTAGTAATACATATAATTTATCCAGTAAAATATTCTCTATAAAGAAAATCAAGCAATTCTTACGAAAGTTCATATTTAGATGCAAATAAAATAAAGAAGTCTCTCCTATATCCCCTAGATTATACTTCGATTTTTATAAATCACACAATATTATTTTTTCGATTCTCTAATTTATTAAACTATACAAAAATTTACTTTATCGAAGTAATTTATGGAAATGTATTTTGAGGCGCACAAAATTTGTATAAACATCAATATTCAAAAACACTTTAATTAATTTTATAATTTAAAAGAGCATTAAATTCGAAAAAAACTTTAATATTGATTTTTCAAATTATTTTTTCTTTAGAAATCCTTTATATACATTCTTTAAATATTTATTAAAATTGATCAAAATGTATATTATTTATTTAAATATGCCCCTCTCATATATTTAAGTTATAGAGTATACATTAAAATGCATTTATCATGCTTTTTTTTCTTAAAGTAACTTTAAAATCATTTATAATAAAGTATATCTGGAACTTAATTTATGTATATTCTTTTAAATTTAATCAATATATATATATATATGCTAATATAGTAATTCCATAGATTTCTTTTGGAAATTCCATATAATTATCTTTGGTTATAATTCAAGACAATCTATTTTTTATGTATTCCAAAATTTTGCTTTATTCTAAATTTTCATAATTTATTTCCCATTTATTCATTATAATATTATTTAAGGTGAAAAGGAATTTTATGTAGAATGAGTAATTTTCTACATATTAACTATACGATTATATATATACAAACTCATTTTGCATTTTATTTCAGGTATTTATTGATTTGATAATTGATATGATTTATAATGAATAATTAATTATAATATATAAAATATAAAGAATAAAATTAATATAGTATATATATAAAATTATAATTATATATTTAAAATATACATTAATAAAATTATATATTATAACTTTATTTCATTTATTATTATTATTTAGTATATTTTTATAAATTATAATATTATATTTAATAATTTTTTTTTTTATATAAATAGTAATCATTAATTTTTAAAAAATTGTTATTTTTTTAATTAAAAAAAATCAATTAAATTTCTATATATTATTAAATAAATATTATTTAAATTTACAATTAATAAATAAAAATATCCATAAAAAGAATATTTACTAATCATAAATAGTCTTTATAATACAATATTTACTCTCTTAAGCATTTTCCTAAGGTCCTTCAAGAATAAGTTCATCATGTATTTACAAAATTAATTCGAACCCCAATTACTCCAATTTTTAACTTTAAGAAATTTTTACCATTGCCGCAATAACAAAATCAGCCCCTCCGCCTTAAATAGGAGTATTAATAGCAGCTCTCAATCCATGTAATTTGTTTAAAAAGCCTTAATTTTAATTAAAGAACTTTGAAAGATTTCTATATCTTCCCATAAGTGTTTATGTATATCCCTTTTCCAAAGCAATATTTTTTACTTTATCTTACCATTAATTGACTTCAGGTGCTTCCTAATACCATTTATCTATCATTTCTTAAGCCTCCTTAAATGAACAACCTAGTGCCTCGGTAATACTTTTAGCAGAGGCTCCATAAATGATTGAAAAGTTCAAAATTTTGGCTTTTTTTCTTTCACTTCCATATTTATCTTTTAGAAGTGGAATATTAGAATTATTTAAATCCTAATCTTAATCTATTAATATTTTTCCCTATTAAACCTCTGTACTTATATAAGGAAAAAGCGTAACAGCTATTCTGCTATGAAAATCTCCTTTTTAATGAAAAAAATCAATCATTTTTTTACACTTAGTTATTTATGCCATGCCAGAATTCTTAATTCTAACTACGAATAATCTGCAATTATTAATTTCTTTCCTTTCTAAGCTTCAAAAGCGCTTCTTATTTTATACACGTCTTTTTTAAAAGCAGGTTAATTTTATAAATTAGGTTTCCTTGATGATATTCTTCCTGTTTCAGTATTAATATTTAATTAGCAATGTATTCTTTCCTAGTTATCTTTTTATTCTAATAAAGGAATAATAAAAGTATATAATAAGGTTTCTGTTTATTTCAAATTTATTAATTACTGAATACTTCTTGATGCTACTTTTCCTTTTTCTTCTTCCTTTCTTTCTTTATAATATTCTCCTATTTTACCATAATTTCCTTTTTCTGGATTGCCAGCCAATTCTTTTAATAATGGAAGATCTACTGATGGCATTCCTTTTTCTGTATAAGCTTACACTTCTAAACCTAATCCTGTAATTGTCATATTAGTAGTTTTTGGTGTTTTTTTTTATTCTTTGTATTATTATTCTGTTATTACAGGCACTTAAATTTTTTTGTTTAAGGAACTTCATCAACAACTTTACGAACTCCTTTTTTTCTCCCATCTGAATGATATCCATCATCTTATTCTACTTCATGGTGTTCTTCAATATTACTATCATCTTCTTTAAAAACATCATCATTTTCTTATCCTTCTTCTTAAAATTTTAAAATTTTCTATTTTTTAACAACACATTTGAATGGTGCGAAAAATAGATGCTATAGCTATAAATTACTCGAAGGATTAAACTAATCTAATCCACTTTAAATTTAATGTACCCAATTAAGAAATTCTTACTTAAAATTCAAAATATCCTATTCTGCTTATTTTTTAACCATTTCTAAATGCCCTACATTAATTTTTATACCTTTTCTTTCTATATTTGTTAATATTTCCCCAAAAGGAAGCCAATATTTCATATATAAATCCATCATATTTTTCAAAGGAAAAAACTTTGTTTTTAAATTTCCCAATTCAACTTTTAATACCTCAAAAACCCAAAAAGTTAATTCTGCATCTAAACAAGAATAATTAATCCATTTATTAATTAATTCTGGGTCTGTATGTATTCTAATAATTTCAGGGAATACTAATATTTTACCTTCTTTTCAATTTTTAAGTTTCTTTTTTTATCCAAAAAGTTTTTTTATATCATCTTTATGATTCTATTCAGTAAAATATTTTTAGTTTTTTTCAAGTTTTTTAAGACAAATTTTATAAAATTCTAAATCTTTAAAAGCTTCATCATTTTAATTTATTTCTAAAATATTTTATGTTTCCTCGATTTTAGCTTATAAATTTTTCATATTTTATATCAAATATTCTTTTTTGTTTTACTATATTTGTACTTATAAATTTTTAGTTATTACACTCAAACTGTATTCCAAAGGATACTAAGCCAAAAGTCTTGCCATATGCATTGTAACTCCACCAAATCCTTAAACATTAATATTATGATTATATAAAATATGACGATCAAATCCATAATTATGCCATATTTTTTTTTAATTATAATCCTCTAAATAATCTTAAAATATATTTATTAACCCTTTATTTTGTCCAAAATTATCAATAAATAATCCTTTTTTTTAATATATATATATCCTTTTTTATATCCTTTTTTTTTTTACATTTTTTTTTTACTTGATCAGTTACCAAAATCTAGATCTTAACCACAAAAAACAAATGCACATATTATTTTTCCTTTTCCTAATAGAGTTTCTGTTTTTAAATCAATATCTATTGTTTCTGTATCCCAAGCATGAGACCTTTTTTTATTATATATATATATATTATATATATATATATATATATATATATATTTATATATATATATATATTCTATTATTTAATTAAAAAAAAAACCTATCTCTTAATTTCTTTAATAATTAAACACAATATTCAGTTTGTGATTTACTATTTACTATAGTTGTACCTAGTAAGTTGGCTTAATTTATTGCTTAATTGTAATAATCAGAATATTTATCATAATACTATTGACTTGAATGACAACTGATTTGTGATTTTAATACATATTCTCCTAAAGTTTTATGTTTTTTATTTTCTAGGTTTGAGTTATTTTATTCTAAATCTGAATTATCTTTTTATTCAATGTGTTAATTTTTTTTATTTAATTATTTTTTATTTATATTTGATTTAGAAAAGTAGAAAAGCTTTTCTTTAAAAAAAAACTGCTTATATAAAATGCATTTATCTTTAAAACATTCATTTCTTATTTTTTATGAAAAATATATAAAAGAAAGTTTTAAAAAAAAGGTTAAATATAAAATACTAATTTTTATTTTATAAATCCAAATATTTTTATTTATATAAATATATATATTTTAAATTAATCATTGATTATCCTTTATTAATTATTCCCACTAATTCTCTAAAAAATCACTTTTATAATTCTACTACTTTTATTTTTGTTAATTGTTTTAATTTCCTAAATTTAAAAAGAAATTGTCATCACCAAATTAATTTTCTTAGAAATTAATTTATTCAATACTTTAAAGAATATTTTATTTTTATTAACTAAATTATTAAATATAATCATTAATAACTAAAGGGTTTTTTTCAAATTTACTTAAATATTCTTCATTTAAAACAATTTTCTGTATTAAAAAAAATAAAAAATATATGAAATTAAAAATATATATATAAAAACCTCAATTTAATCAAGCATGTCAAGCTAACTATTTGATAGATTAGTTTATTTTTAAAAGGCAGACTTAAATAATATAAGAACATTATTAGCAACATAAATTAAATAACTATCCACTGCATAAGAAATCAAAACATCGAACAAAATTTCATAAATTTTTAATAATTCGCTTTCATTTATATGTATTTCATTTATAAAAAAGGGGACTATCCATAAAAAGGAATTTTAGATCTTAGTATTTTATTAATTTTTTAAAAAATCATTAACTTTTAATAGGTTAAATTCTTTTTTTTCTTAATTTTAATTTTCGCAGCAAAAAATTATTTATTCTAAATCAAATAAATTTCTTTTGTTATTTTTTAAATTTTCATCTAATAATTTTATCTATTTTTTAATTTTAATTAAAAATATAAAAATATTAGTATTTACTGTCTTTTAAGCATTCTCATACCATAAATATTAATTCTATTCAAAAATGTTTTTAAAAAGGATATTATATTTATCTTTAATAGATTAAATACTAGGAAGTTTTTCTAAAGGTAATTAATCCATCCAAATAAGTTCATATTAAATCAAACCTTAAGGTAAAATGCAAATTTCTAAAATTTATTATTAAGTAAGCCTTAAAGAATCAAGTAAATTAAACAACTATAAATCTTTCTAAGCGTAATATTCTTTTAAAAGCTCTTACAATTTTAACAAACTTACCTATTTTTGCAAAGCATTAAGATCCTTTTGAATTTCCAATTTATTATTTTCATCTGCACTTTATAATATCTATTCCAAATCGAATATAGCCAACATTGTGAAATCTATTCTTGTTAATAAAGAAATATATTATTTAGAACTTTCTTGAAGGTTTAAATTGGAGATTTTATAAGCAGTTTAATAAGATTTTTTAATATCATTATTTTATTATGTGTATTTATAAAAAAGCTTAAGAAGTTCAAAATCTTTTTCATAATTTAAAGCTAATAAAACGTTTTCTGTAAAAATAGAATTTAATTTTAAAATTTCATTTTTTCTATCAAATTTTAACATTTTTTATATTGCAATTGTATGTAACTTTTTTTTTTATAATAAAAATTTATATATATATTTTATAAAAATCAGCTTTTTTTATTTTACTATTTCTATATTATCTTTGCCTAAAATTTCCATTATTTACATTATCTATTAATTATAAATTTCATTTTTTTTACTATTTTAATCTAACATCTCCAAAATTTGTACAAAAGTTACATTAAAAAACTACAACATTTCTTACATTTTGTTTTATTTTATTTAAATTTTAGTATAAGCTTTATAACATTCTAATAAAAGTACAGTAAATAAAGGTAAGGCATGATTTTAAAAATAAAGAATAAAAAATTATTACAAATTATCTTAATTTAAAAATTCCAAATTATCAATAAGGATTTATGTACATTCTTAAAAATTAATTTAAGTCGGATTTTTTTTGAAAAAATCATTAATAATTAATTCATTAGGTTAAAAAAAAAGAGGGTAATTATCCAACAAAAACTAATTTTGTTTCTTTGATCCTTTTAAAGTAATAAAAGTGTATTTTTTAAGATTTTTTTGGCATTTAATGGCATCTTAAAAAGTTAAATTTATTAATTTTTCTTTTAAATTTTCATCAAAGCCAGATTTCTAAAAAAATGCTCTCATATTATTTTCACATAAATACAATACTAGCTTAATCAACTAAATTATTTTTTCACATAACTAAGCTATATTTCCTACTACGATTCCTTCATTATATTTATTATTTTTGAAAGACTCTTCATCTTCTTTTTAATAAATATTATTATTCATTTCGATATTTTATAAAACTAAATAATTTGCATATTTTTCTTTCCATTCATTTAAAATCCAACTCTTAAATTCATTTATTTTTTAACAAATTAAAATTCCTTCATCTTTACTAATATTGCCGCAATGCTAGTTTTCCAAATAAAAAATTGCCTTTTTTTCCAATATCTTCTCATTCCAAAATGGTCTAAGTAATCTACTAAAATAAACCAATATTCCTTCCAATTTCACACTATAATGTTATCTATTAAATTCACAAGCTCTCCCTAATGTTTATTGAAGGAAAATATTATTGTTTTTATTTTACAAAAGTAAGTTATTTGTAAATGAATATGTATCTTAAATATACATATCACCATATTTCAAATAAATATAATGGGCTTTTTATAGTATTTCACCACTTAGCTGACATACTAGTGTTTCAGGAATAAATTAGTTTTGCTAATTTTATTATTAATAAGGTGTGTCTTATGTATATTTTTAAAAAACGTTAAATTCCCCGGTTAATGATTAACTTTTTTATTTTTGTATTTACTCTAATTAGTTATGCACTTATATGTTTATATAATATTCATAATTACAAGCTGTTACTAACATATGAGTTAATATTGAAAACGTCTCGATTGGCCCGTAACTATTCATAAACATTTAAAAAAGAAGAAAATGCTCATTTTCATCACTTATTATTGTTTTCATTGTCAAATTGCTTCTTTTATATATATTTGTTACTTTTAATATTTAATATAAGTAATCTATTGGTCTTTATAGATAATGCTAAAAAATTCCTACATTAGTCAAAGTAGCAAAGTGCTAAGGCGGAAAATATATTTATGTTACCAACTCATTCGAAAATCCTTTAGAAAGCTTATTATATATACTTTTATAAGTAGGACTCAATAACCATTTATGAGGTATTTAAATTACTAAAACATCTTTTATTTATTCAATAGTATTTGTATCATTATCAAGTACTATTTCCGATATTTTTTCTGTTGGAATTATCATATTATTTTCGAGAAATTGTGTTCTATCAGAATATGTATTTGCTTCTTTTGTACGACTTGTAAAACATTCGTTTGATTAAATATAGAATAATCTTGATGCATTTTTTTCCTTTTTTTCTAAAATTAAACTCCCATTCTAAGTTTTGGTACAAAATTAAATTTGTTTCTGTTTTTCTTATATTTCTAAATATTATTGTTTATTTATTACTATTAACTAATTTTTTTTTTTAATTATTAAAAAATTAATATCGTTATTTTTATTTATTTATATAGATTTATTATGGTTTTTTTTTTATTCTAAAATAAAAAAGTTAAATATATACATATATTTTCAATATTATACACGATTTTCATTGAATAAATTTATGTTTTTGAATGAATAATTCTAAAGGGGAAGTTCAATCATTCCTTTTACAAATTAAATTTGAAAACTATTATCTGATTTACTTTATATATAAACTCGAATTCCATTTTGCATTATTACTAATAAATTAACGTCATTTTTTTCTTATTGTTCTACTATTTTTATGCTTATTATATTTGATCCAGGAGGAAAGTTTTTAAAAAAAGAATTCTTTATTGTACTTTTGAATATTATTTCATTATTTTCAAAAGAATATTATTTTATTTCCTTTATTTTATTATATTTTTTTTATTTAAAAGAAACAAACATTTAAATTTATTTTTATTTTTACTTTTTCTATTTTTTTAGTCCAAAAAGTTTAATATTCAGATAAAGTATAAAGTAAATTTCTTGATTAATCAAATTCGATTTATTATATGGAAGATTTTTTTAAAAAATAGCTGAAAATTTTTTATTTTAAAGTTGTTTTTTTTTCTATTTTTTTTCCAAAATAACCTCCTTTTTTAAAAATATTAAAGCTTTGAAAATATTCAATTTTTTAGAGTTCTGTATCTCCTAAAAAAATATCACCATTCTAAGTAAAAAGTACCTTTTATTTTACTTTTAAATAATTATAAAACAAAAAGTATTTACACTGTTAATATATTCATTATTAGTTTTAATATTAGCATTAATATCTTATAATTTAATTTTATTCTAATAAATTTTAATGTCTTTTAATTCTATTCTTGATTGTAAAACAACAACAAGCAAATTTTAAATCATATTTTACTAAAATATTAATTATTTAGGTTCTCCATGACTAACTTAAATAATAATTTAATCAAAATCATAAAATAATACATCTTAATCCAATATTTAAACCTTTATTTTATTTCCGAATTATTAATCATTTTTTTAATTATAATATTCATTTTTCATTTCGATTTTCATAAATTATTAACACATTTCTAGAAATTCGAATTTCCATAAAAACAAACGATTATTTATGCTTATCCAAGCGATTCCTAATTCTCCTATTAAGCCCTTTTTAAATAATTATTAATATTTTTGATTTTTAAATTTCTATACTTTATTTATTGATTATATTCCTCCTTATTGTTCACATTATAAATAGAAATTGTTTATAATTTAAGGAAACTAACTTGCTTTATATTAAACGAAATTAGATGCATTTATTAAAAATAAGTCTTTTTTTTATAAAAAATATATTTAATAAATAAAATATATAATATTTTTTTTTTACCATTATAATTAATTTATTATATTCCTTATCCAAAATCATCTCTTTTTTAAAAGTAATCTATTAAACTTGACATTTTTTGAGTATGAAAATATATATTGGTTTAATTTTGTTGCTTTTATTATAAGTTTTAAGATTTCTTTTCTAAAATAAAATCATTCTAATTTGCTTAAAGTACATTTTATAATTATTCTTATTATTATTAATACTTATAATTATTTAACTACATACTTATACTTTAATTTATACTTGTATTTAAGGTACTTTATGATTCATTTAACTATTAAGTGCTTTAATTAACCTATTATTTATTTAAATCTTATCTTGAACGCTTTTAAAATATCATGTTTATTATTTATATTTCTTAATATATTATTAATAAATTGTTAAATAAAAATACAAATTTATTTGTGTATATTTTATAAATATTTTATATATAATATATATATTTTTCCTTCTAATTAATTTAAGAAAAAAAAAATAATACTTTTAAATAAATATTTAGCATATAATATATTTAATTTTGTGTCTTGAAATAATAATTTAAAAATTAGGTTAATAAAAATAACTTTAACAAAAATAAAAAAAAAGATATACTTTATTATGTAAAAAATAAAGTTTATTTAAATGAATTAAAAGGTAATAATATAATCAATTATTTTTTTATTTTTAAATATAAAAAATAAATATATAATTTTTTTTTCTTAATTTATAAATATACAAATAATTTAAATAACATATACATTTATTTTAAAATGATATAAATATATATATATATATATTTAAAAATAAAAAAAAATTTATTAATAAAAAAGAATATTTTAAGAAAAATTAATTTCATAAAACAATTTTTAATATTTATATGTTTGCTATTTCAAAAAAAAAATATATAATTTAAAATATTAACATATTAATATATTTTATTTGAAGAAATTATATATTTTATTTTAATTTATAATAAAAGCATGGATTAAAAAATATTATATATATATGTAAAAATATATATATATATAAATATATATA